AATCATTGGCGTTGGGTTTCAGGTTAATCATAATGAATTTGGAAGAACAGTCTCAGTTGAAAGCTTAAAATTTGAAAGGTTTGACCAAGATTTGATTTGTGTGTATTTGATCTCAGATTGGAATTTTATGGTTTGGTTAGCTCCGTTAGGTGATTTGTAACTTAGGAGCGCGATCAGAATGAGTTTTGGAGTTGTAGCTAAGATTTAGGCTTGAATTGGCGAAGTTGATATTTTGGCAATTTCCGGTTAATAGGCAAGATTTTGATATAGGGATTGGAAAGGAATTCTGAGAGTTGCAGTAGCTTCGTTGTGTCATTTGGGATGTGTGTGCAAAATTTCAGGTTATTCGGGTGAGATTTGATAGACTTTTGATCGAAAGCATAAATTAAGAGTTCTTGGAGTTCTTAGGCTTGAATCCTATGTTAAATTGGCGATTGATGTTGTTGTGAGCGTTCCGAAGTTTTGAACAAGTTTGAACAATGTCATGGGATGTGTTGGTACAATTGGTTTGAAGTTTCGAGAGTTTCGGGTAGGTTCCGGGATGTTTTAGGCCGAAAATCATAGTTGTAGCAAGTCCAGAAGGGTTGCAGGCCTCAGAACCCACCCACGCGGTCTGCATAAAAAGAAGTGTGGCCGCAGTATGTGTTGTGTGGACCGCACATAAAGAAGTGCGGCCGCGGTAGGTGCTGTGCGGACCCCACAAAATGTAGTGCGGCCGCGGTGGGGGACATTTCACTGGTCCTACTTCGGAATCTCATATCTTTTGATCTACAAGGAATTTGAGATGATACAAAACACGAAAGTTGTAGCCATTCGTGTCTAGTTTCCAGAAAGATAAAGATATCGCAATTTAGATATCTGTAGCGAAAGTTTTGGCCAAAATACTAAAGATTGTCACTGTAGAGGAAAGCCTGTGCGGCCTCGATCGGTTTTGTGCGGACCGCACTGGTTTTGTGCAGACCGCGGTTGATTTTGTGCGGTCTGCGGAGGTGAAAATCTGTGGGGTACTCAATAAATACGAGGTTTTGGGTTTTATTTGATATTTTGACCTAGAGAGCTTGGATTTTGGCAATTTTTCGAAGGTTTTTCAAGAAATTCATCGGGGTAAGTGATTTTAACTCAGATTTGGCTAGAGTACATGAATCTATCATTGAATTCATCATTTAATTCGTGATTTGGGATGGGACTTGGGAAGAAATTGTAAATCTTTCAAAAATATAAAATGATGATTTGAAGGACCAAATGGTATCGGAATTGGATAATTTTTGTATGGTTAGACTCGTGAGAGTATAAGGATTTTAGTTTTGTAAATTTTGTCAAATTTCGAGATGTGGTCCCGGGGGTCGGGTTTGACCAATTTAGGGAATTTTGTGGTAATTTAATTATTTTTGAGTGGGCTTTGTTCCCTTAGCATATTTTGATGGTTTTGTACTGATTTCAGCTAGATTTGAAGCATCCGGAGGCCGATTCGAGAGGCAAAGGCATTGCGGGATAGAGTTCGGACCGGATAGAGGTGAGTAATGATTGTATATGATCTTGAAACCCAAGATTGCACATCGTAGTGCTATATTGAGGTGAGGCACACGCTTGACGACAAGCGTGGGGTTGTGTACTATTGGGGATTGTGACTTTGTCCGTCCCGAGTGATGATTTTACCCCGTATTTGACTAAAAACTAATTGCCCTCATTATTATTTGGGCTGAATGTCATATTTGGGCCTAGTGATAGCTATTTGAACCCTTCGGGGATTGTTGTTGATATTTCCTCACTCTTTTGATTTTATAGTTGAACTCAGTGATGTTATTTTCTACTATTTTCAAAACTCAGCCAAGTTTATTTTGCTTTAACACTTGAAATGATATTTCAAACAACTTTTTTTGGGATGAGCATCATGTTTTACTGTTGCCCGAGTGGCTTATGTGATTTTTGACTGAGTAAGGCCGAGGGACTGTATTGTGAGGATACTTTTGGATCGGGCTGCACGTCGTAGCAGTGAGATACTGATTTGATTATGAGGCCGAGGACCTGAGATATGTATGCCACGAGGTGGTTTGTTGATTGATATGAGGCCGAGGGCCTAGATTTGATGCCACGAGATGGCTTGATATTGTGCTTGGGCCGTAAGGGGCCCCTCCCGAAGTCTGCACACCCCTAGTGAGCGTGGGTACCCATTGTGATGTGAGATATAGCCCGAGGGGCTGGTACTGTTCTGAGATTGTTCCCGAGGGGCGAACATTTATGTGTTTATCTTCTTAATTGCCTGTCATTACCTGTTGATTTTGTATTTGTGCCCGAGGGGCAGATTTCTGTGCTTATCTATTCTAATTATTTGCACTCGTTTGTGTAACTATTGAAAAAGTCATTTTTAAAGAAGTTTAAACTGAGCTAAGATATTTTAAAAGATTTTTATAGCTTCACTGCTTTCTTACTGGTTTTGGACTGCTTCTATACAGCATCTTGATATGTTTTACGTGATTTCTTGCCTTCAGTCTTTATTTATTATTGTTGCTCACTTAGTCGGAGTACTCACATTACTCCCTGCACGTTGTGTTCAGATTCAGGTATGTTTTGGCTGATCGGAGGCAGAGTCATAAGAGTTTAGCAAGGTAGCTGTCGCCGTTCGCAGCACTGCTTTTCTCTCTCTTCTATTCATTAGACTATATTTGTACACTCCAGGCTTACAGTTGTATTTATACCCTAGTAGATGCTCGTGACTTGTGATACCCATGTTAGGGCTGTGTTAGGTTCTACTTCCGCACCTTATTGACATTATCCGCTACTTAGTATTGCTATATCATGTTTTAGACTACTTTTATGATATTTAACTGTTTAAAAAGTGAATTGGGTATAATTGGCTGGCCTTGTCTTCACGAGAGGTGTCATCACGATCGGGTTCTGGTTTAGGGTCGTGGCACCTATTATCTACTCCTCTATTTCTAACTAATGTTTTATTGCTACTTTAACAATGAAAATAAATTTCCTTATTGAAATAAATGATATGTTGGCAAATCAATTACTATAAAAGATTAACTAATGTTATTAAACATTCATAAACCACAATCCCTTTTTGTAGCTTATTTATAATTCGCTTAGCAAACATCACACATCTTTCAGTATTTACTATTTTAAAAAAATAATGCTTAATCATAAATTTATTTAAAAAATTATAACAAATTTTAAAAACTAAACTTTAGATGGAAAATTTCAAGAGAAACATACAAATTACATGAGAAGAAAAACTAGACTGTAGATGGAAAATTTCAAGGGAAATATACAAATTATGTGAGTAATTAACATTAAAAACATTTAAAACTAAACTCTAAATAAATATCTTAATATGTATATTTTTTCCACTGCTAGGAGTTGGATTAAAGAAAGTGTAATCTTAGGGTTCATTTGGTTCACAAACAAATTATATTGAGATTATACTACATGAGCCTCATTTGTATTTTTCAGTTTAATTAGTGAGCTAACACTTTCTTATTAGTACTTTTCTTCAATTCAAATGCTATATAGGATTCATAAGTAGACAAAAAAAATTCGCATGTAACTACTACAGAGTTCTCTATCTGTTTTGAACATTGAAAAAACTAGAGATGTTTGTCATGTTACTCATTTCCTTTAACATCTTCACACGATTTTTGTCATACTCATCAAAAGTACATTTGTTGAACACTCTTAAGTGCTGGTATAAAATTTAATACCACTTTAACATTTTATTTGGTTAGCAAACTTGGTATAAGTTATTTTGGGATTAAAATTAGTATCGGGATAACTTATATCTTGTAGAAAATGAGGTAATTAGAGCCGGGATAACTTATACCTTCTTAGAAATTATGCAATTGTCATTTTTAAGACGACATACCAAACGGTGGATATAAAACAATACCATAATATCTAAAGCATAACTAATCTCAGCATAACTTATCCCAGCATAACTTATCCCGGCATAAGCCATATTCCAGCCAAACGACCCCTTGATGGTAAGTTTCTTGTAAGTTTTAACCAACGACCCCAAATTTTGGCGATTCAAAAACACTCGTGAGCAAATGACATATTTGTCAAAACTTAAAATTTGGGGTTATTTTATACAAATTTCTTAAATATGGACAAAACTTAAACAAAGTTGCACTAAAAGGACATTTGATGAAACTTTATATCAAGTTCTTGCCAATCCTCCTCAAGTGTTACTATTGCAACAATTTTGTGATCTTAATGTAATTTTTATAATTATTTTTTAGTTTATAGTATTTTAAAATTCTTGAAATTAGTAAAATTTAATGGGACTTACGCCCCATGTCTTAGGGGTTTCGCCTCGCCTGCCTTACGCCCCCTCCTTTTAAAACATTGCTTGAGCCATAATTGATTGATAAATTGAGATGTGCAAAATTAATACTGCAAGTCAGATTTCAGATCAGTTAAACAACTATTTTTTTTCCTTATGCAGTCAATCAAATGCTTCATTAGTTATACAAATGTCATTAAATTAATTATATACAATAATCTTTTATGCGACCAACTAAGGTATGTAAGTTATTTTATGCTTAAATATAAACACTCATAATATCATTGTATTGCCCTGAAGTAGCAAGTGACTCATACATCTTTAATTAAAAATTTCGAGTTAAAATTAATAGAATAAAATTACCTTAGATAATAAGTACTTTATCCCAACAGAAAGTTTTAAGCCGTATGCGTAAATAAAACACTCTTAATATAGGTATACACTTTCCTTTTTACTTTGCCTCACTCTATCTCTACTAGTCCCAACACTAAGAATGTTATGCTTTTTGTTATATATTATCTACCTTGTCAACGTAAGGGTAAGAGTGAGTGAATGGGTTTTCATTTAACCGTTGATAGTAAATTTTTCTTTTTGAGAGTAAATTTGTTAATACTAAGCTAGGCTTGGATATTATTTTGTATGGGTATGCGGCTATGATTTTACTGTTGGATTAGAGTTCTGATGAAATGACTTAGTTTGCGTAGCTAATAGTAAATAGTTCATGAAAACCTGTGTAGTTATTTATACAAAATGTGGAGGATTGTACTGTAGTAAATAATACCACCAAAATCTACCCTGGTAAGAGTCAGTTTGCCTTACTATTTATACAAAATGTGAGACGTTGTACTGTAGTAAACAGTTCATAAAAATCTACGTACTTATTTGCACAAAATGTGGAAGAATGTACTGCAGTAAAACACCATCAAAATGTGCCTTCAATGCAAGTATTACAACCGCGGTAGGCTATCGGGAAAAATTTTGAGCGACCTTTGTTGCACTTCAAATCTGATAAGGCATCTGTATACAACAAAGTGAGAGTTAAGTGTAAAGTAGTAGGTGAGAATATGTAATTTGGACCAAGAATTGATAAGCCGTTGAACATAAATTTTGTTTTGAATTGTAAAAAAATTCCAAAATTCTACTGGAGTGTGAGAACCATAGGCAGCTGAAGACGATAAACATTCGGAGACATTTTGCTAATATGAAACCGAAAGAGACGCCATACAGCTTCCGAAGGTGATACCCATCTAGCAGAACGATATTTATTTACCTCGTCTATTTCTATATTCGCATCATTATTCTGTACAGAAAATGCAATTTTGTACCAAATTTCTGTACGTTGATAAATAATGTACCAAATTTATGACTGAAAAATAAGTATGTTTGAGAATATCAGTAAAAAAAAAACACAATAAAACATTACTTAGTCGTTTCAGGCATATAACACATGGAGACATCAAATGACATAAAAAAATAAGATTAAGAAAAGAGCGGCATGCATTCTATTCTAGTTCGGTATTTTGTCATTCAAGTCATTCGTAAATCAAGTCATTAACTGTTGGTAATTCATTTATTTAGTTCATATCACATACAGATATCACTTACTTGCCCCATGTCTAAAATCTTAGAGCTTCCAATACCTTTTGACAGTGGACATTTTCAGGAGGAGGAATGTGTAAATATTCAACCCCAACAATGAACACAATATGAGATAATAATTGCAAGATGTAGGTAAGGAACATGCATATTCTCTCAGCACCAATGTGCATTCTAATGAGGGCAAAATAGAGCTACAACCTATTCTCTCTTCTATGTGTTTATATACCTTACACCAAACACTGCTTCAACCAAATTTTGCGAAATGTTCTTCGTATGATTCAGTTGTGTTAAAAATATTGGCCGAATATGAAAAAAAATTAATTGTTGTACATAGTTCAAGGCAGCAACATAGGGGCTCAACGGGACATTCCCATGACAAATAAGCCGCTAGCCTTGTCAAATTATCCATATTCAGAGCTTTTGTTACATACATATAAGTAGTTGGCATCAAATAGAATCCAAGATTATCAAAATCACTATCCATAAACTCAACAGTGATATCATAACAACCAAACAAAATAATATAGTTGATGAATCACCATATAACTTTGGAGAATTGGAATATTACTACCTTGCTTTGGGTTGACTGAGTAATTTCCCCGGAATGAGTAGAATTCTAAGACCTCAGTCAAAGATGTCAACTGTCAAGTAATTGACATCAAAGAGCAGGCAATGCAGTCTCAGCTATATAGAGCTGCAACCTGCAAATGCAAGAAGAAATGTATGACTTAGTAAAATATGAATATTTATTAGTCTTCTCCTACACTAATATAACGTAAATAAAAAGCAATAAATCAGTCTAACCTTGGTCGTCAGCAGAAGAAGCCTCTCTTATGGTAAGAGAAATAGGTTTTAGAATCATAGGGTGACATTGGTACATTACTCTTTTATCCGGAGCAGCTACCGAGTTTATGGAACTATTCCATTTTTATCGCTCAAGTTCTTTGGTGCGGCGGTGTAGTAACATTGCCTATTTTTTATCAGGCGATATTTGCCTATACGTATCACGTCTTTTGACATTTTTGTCAGAGTTTGTATATTCTACATATGGCCGTTTGTTTCTTTGGTCGGAACCCATTTTTTCAGAAGCTTATTACTACAAGAGAACCGCGTTTAGAACATTCAAACCAAAAAAAAATGTCAACACACCGTAAGTAACAAATTTTATTGTTCATTCTACTAGTAAATTATGGAAATCTAAATAACCCATTGGGTTCAGTCTTTTAAAGACCAATATTTTTAGAGAAAGTTAAATACCAGGGGAAAAATGAAGACAACTTCAAAATCGCATACTAAATCCAAAATAAATTAATAAAAATAGAGAACAAATCAGAACTCAACCTCAATTTGTTTTCACCTTTCTGAACCGGATCTTAAGACTAAACTGAAGAAAACATTGGTAATGAAGTCCAAAACCCAAAGATCTGTTTTTTTGGCACAAGAAGAAAAAGTAGAACACAAAAGAATAAATTAAGTGAAATGCTGTAATGATTGGAATATACCTGCTCTTTGTGGTAGATCTGAATCTGAAAAGGCTAACAACAGTAATTTGGTTGAATTAGTAGGTGAGGCCTGCTGAGATTTGGGACAGTTAATGCTAAACTTGGAAGTGGATGGTTCTAACAAGTTGTGTTGAATGAGTTTTTATCTTGGACGAATTGGGAGTCCACATGCTGGGCAAAGGCAGAAAGAATCATCAACTATAAGGCTGAGCTGTAAATTACTGAAATTACGAAACTACCCAGACAAATTAAAAAATTCAAGGGAACACACACTTTGACGGAGAGGTGCCTGTGTTTCCTACTTATTAGAAGAGGGAACACATGCACCTCTCCGTCAACATGCCTGTCTGGCAAAAGGGTAATTTTGAAAATATAACTTTTTTCAGACTGCATTCGTTATGTTCATTGGTCCATATAGGATGTTACTGTAGCTATTTTGCTTTTGATTTACTGTATAGACATTTTAGCCCTAAATATGTGGACCCCATCTGAACTTTCATTCATATCTCATCCTGAATGTTTTTTATAGTGGACAGGTGTCACATTGAGAGAACTATCTTCTCTCTATGATTATGTTGTTTAAAAATGAAATTGCACGTTCTGAGGCCTTAAAAATATCTCTTAGTATCACCTTGATTTGTGTGCGCAGTCCGGCTGCGCGGCCGGAAAGCCTAAATGTGAAAATCTGTGAAAAATGATAAATTTTGACTATAAAATAAATTAATTTGACTTCGGATAATGTTTTGGGTAAACGGACCCGGACCCGTGATTTGATGATCTCGGAGGGTCCATAGGAAAATATGGGACTTGGGCGTATGCCTGGAATAAAATTCCGAGGCCCCAAGCCCGAGAAATGAATTTTTGAAAGAAATTATTTTCTGAAAAATATAAAGGTTTTTGAAAATGAAATGTTATGTGAAACCTGTGGTATCTGGCCCGTATTATGGTTCCGGAGCTCGGTACAAGTTCAGTATGATTTATTTATGTTGTCGGTAAAGTTTGGTAAGAAACGGAACCCGGTTGGCGTGATTCGGACCTTAAATGCGAATTTGATGTTTAAAGAAGTTTTGAGAAATTTCATCGATCTTGAGGTTTAATTCGTTTTCATGATGTTATTTTGGTGATATGAGTACAGGAATAAGACCGTAGGATATTTTTGAGGTTGTGTATATATTTGATTTTGAGTCCCGACGGCTCGGGTGAGTTTTGGATAGGCCACAGAGTGCATTTTGAACTTCCAAAAGTTGCAGATTTCAGCTGTGCATAGCAGGCCAACAACCTTCGCATTTGCGAAGCCTCGCTCGCAAATGCGAGTGGCTGATCACAAATGCGAAGGAAACTAGGCCAGCTCAGTCTCGCAAATGCGAGATTTCTTTTACAAATGCGAAAATTCATGTCCCAACCTTGAGTCGCAAATGCGATGAAGCTGTCGCAATTCTTAAGTCGCAAATGCGACCAGCTGTTCGCAAATGCGAAGATCCTATTTTCCTAAAGTGTTCGCAAATGCGAACCCTGTTTCGCATTTCCCAGCAATTGCGAACCCCTTTTCGCAATTCCCATATCTGCGACCTGCAACTTTTATACTTAGACGATTTTAAACTTATTTTTCACATCTTTTCAAAACACAAACTCCTTTGGGCGATTTTTCAAGAACAACTCTTCTTCCAAATCGATTGTAATTTAATTTTAACTCATTTTCTTCAATAATTAACATCTTTTAACATGATTTCAACTCAAAATCAATGATTTTATGGGGGAAATTGGGTGTTTTGAGTAGAACCTAGGTTTTTCAAATATTAGGGATTTGGACCTCGATTTGAGGTCCGATTTCAAAACAAATTATATATTTGGGTTCGTTGGGAAATGGGTAATCGGGTTTTGGTTCGAACCTCGGGTTTTGACCATGTGGGACCGGGGGAGATTTTGGACTTTTTGGGCAAAACTTTAGAAAAACTCATTTTCATGCATTGGGGTTGATTCATTTAGCGTTTATTGATGTAATTAAGTAACTTGTGACTAGATACGAGCAAATTGGTGGTGGAATTAAGGGGTAAAGCTATAGTTGAATCGTGAATTGTGTTCGTGGCATCGAGGTAAGTGTTTGGTCTAACCTTAGCTTGAGGGATTAGGAATTGTGCCTTATTTTCTACATGTTAATTGTGGAGTATGACGTATAGGCATGGTGACGAGTATCTATACGTTGGTGTCAAGCATGCCCGTGAGACTTGTATTATAATTGTTATGACTTCGTTGTAGTTTATTGCGCTTCATATGTTATTATCACCATTATTCCCTTGCCAGGATGTTTGTTTGATATTAATGATCCCTTGCCAGGATGTTTGTTTTGATAATATTGTTCCCTTGCCGAGATGTTTGTTTTGATATTATTGTTCCATTTCCGGGATATTGTTGAAATATCATTGTTCCCTTGCCGGAAAGTTGTTATATTGCTCTTGTTCCCTTGCCGGAATTCCTTGTGATTATTGTTGGCTTGTAACTGGGAGCGGGTGGTATGCCTACTACAAGATATAATAAAATGGGAGCGAGTGGTACACCTACCACAAGATATAATAAAATGGAAGCGAGCGGTACGCCTAACACAAGATATAATGAAATGGAAGCAGGTGGTATGCCTACCATAAGATATAATGAAATGGGAGCAGGTGGAATGCCTACCACAAGGTATAGTGAAATGGGAGCGGGTGGTACGCCTACCACAAGATATAATGAAATGGGAGCGGGCGGTACGCCTACCACAAGATATAATGAAATGGGAGCGGGTGGTATGCCTACCATGAGATAAATAAAATGGCAGCGGGTGGTACATNCGCCTGCCACGAGATACAGGAAATGGGATCGGGTTGCACGCCTGCAACAAGATGTGAAAAGAAAGTGAAATCTGCCTTTGTTTTCATTATTCTTATTAGTAGTTGGATTTTGATTCCTTTATAGTTCTCTTGATATTCTGTTTTACTTGTTTTCCCTGAAGCATATTTCCCCCTCCCATCTTTACTTGTTTATTCCTGATTTACTTTCCATTGTATATTATATAACTGCACAGGTTTATTTGGTGGTCTGGTCCTAGCCTCGTCACTACTTCGCCGAGGTTAGGCTAGACACTTACCAGCACATGGGGTCGGTTGTGCTGATATTACACTCTGCACTATGTGCAGAACTCGGAGCAGCTTTTGGACCGTAGTGTGGAAGCTACCTTCAGTCCACCTGGAGATCTAAGGTAGACCTGCAGGTGTCCGCAGGCCCTGACGTCTCCTTCTATCCCTATTTCCTGTTTCATCTTCCTTCTATTCAGAAATAGTGTACTGTTACTTCTTCAGACTTTGTATGTAGCAATCTTAGACAGTCTGTGACACTGTGATACCAGGTTTTGGGTGGTTAAGGCTTAAGTAGTTGTAATAAATACAGATTTCATATATTTTATTGTTGTCTTCCGCTTAAATTTGAATTTTCGTTGTTATCACGTTATCGCCTTATATTTGATATAAAGAAATAATCGGTTAATGAAGTAATTAGATCAAAGATTTGGCTTGCCTAGTTCACATTAGTAGGCGCCATCACGACTCCCGAGGGTGAGAAATCCGGGTCGTGACAACTTTTTAAAAATCAAACTCCAAATATTATCATTACTATTATTACACAATGTGTACTCTCTCCATTTCTAACTAATTTTTTTACATGCCTACTCTAATATAATAAATACTAATGAATTTATATGTGAAATAAATGATATGTTGGCAACTCATTTTTTTACAAATTAACTAACTTATTTGAAGAATTCACAAATTGTTTAATGGTTATTATTTTAATTAGTAACGTTGAATCATAAATGCAAAAAGTTCTATAATAAATTAAGAAAACTAAACTTATAGATAGAAATTTCAAGGGAAACACATAAATTGCTTGACCAATTAAAACTAAAACGATTTAAAATTAAATTATACATAAGTATCGCACTATGTAAAGTTATTCAACTACTGCTCATAGAATTTTAAGAAGTGTAATCTTAGGAGTCATTTCACATAGTTATATGGAAATTATACTGCATGAATTACAATCTGGGGATTAAATAAGAACGAGATTATTTAATAAATATATTTTTATTAGTAGATTTCATCATTATTAGACTAAAAATAAAATATCATCGTATATTTGAAACACGTGTTTGCTTTTATACTAGATAAATTTGAATAAACTCTTAACTCAAATTTTAACTTTGTTTTTTTAAGACTTTAACAAAAACATTGGAGAGGATAAATATATTATTTTGTTGTCATATCTTGTGGTTAGCAATATCAAAATTCAAATTTCGACCATGTCGCAATATAAGGTTTTTCCAAGGATAACATAAGGAACACAAGGGCGTCCTGCTTGAATTCTTTAGTTCAGCCGCTACATTTGTAGTCAATTGGAAATTATATTACTTTCTTTGGCCATGTGAGCAATTAAGCTTCATTTGTATTTTTTAGTTTAATTAATGAGCTAACAACTTTTAACTATTTTTTCAATACTTAAATATGTACTGTCAAAATATCCAAAGGACAAAGTAGCTACTATGAAGTTCACCGTATGTTTTGAACATGAAAAACTAAAAAATGCTTATCATGTTATTCATTTCCTTCAGTCTCCTATGGTTAGAGGATGAATTGTTAAAGTCAACAACTAAATGCACATATCCATTTGTTTTCTCATAAATAGAATTTTATAAATCTCAAAATGAAGATACAAAGGACCACTTAGTTAAAAAAAATTATATTATAAATAATTTTCTTAATTATATATGTCGAAATATTAAATGATACTTTTTGAACAAGAAACATCATTACCAGAGAACCTATGTATGTTGACCCAAGAGGTCATCACTTGTATTAAAAATGAATTCTGCATTCTGAGGCCTTAAAATCCTCTTTTAGCATCATCTCGATTTGCGTGCGCAATTCGGGCGCGAAGCCGGTAAGTCTTAATATGAAAATCTGTGAAAAATAATAAATTTTGACTTAAAATACATTTTAGTTGACTACGGTCAACACTTTAGATAAATAGACCCGGGTTCGTGGAAAAATATGGGACTTGGGCGTATGCCCGGAATCGAATTCCGAGGTCTTAAGCCCGAGAAATGAATTTTTTTTTAAAAAAAAATTTGGGATTCTCTATGAGTTTTGGAAATGAAATGCA